AAAAAAAAAAAAAAAAAAAAAAAAAAAAAAAAAAAAAAAAAAAAAAAAAAAAAAAAAAAAAAAAAAAAAAAAAAAGTCAGAAAACCTAGAAGCCCAACTCTACTCGAACCGAGATGGTGTGAGCATGTTTGGGCGTAAAATTTTCTCACCCGCAACCCAATGAATATAGTGGAACTCAAATTCGACTATCTCTGGAGAAGAGGGAAAAGAAGTCTTAAATCATGTTTATAATAACTACCTGTTATAACTCAATTATAGGTAATTTAAACTCAACTCTCAAACTCTTAACTTTGCTACGCTTCTAATCTTTTAACTAAAGCGTCCAAGTGTGTATGACAAATACAATGTGGGGGTACAATAAGAACAAAGTTGGTTGGTCAATTTCAGACGAATTTATAAAAGAGAATTAAGTTAAATTTTAATATTAGGTTAATATTAGTATATTTTTTGGTTAATATTTTAATTTAAGAAAATTAAAACAAATAAATAATCAAATCATTATTAAAGAGTTCAATAATTTGTTTTCTTAGAAAATAGGGTCAAAACCTGCTACATTTAATTTATATATTGTCCCTCTTCCAAGCTTCAAATAATATAAAATATTATTGAATGCGTTTCTTTTTACAATGATTTTTTAAACATCATGCTTATTTATTTATTCGTGATTAAAAAACGGATAATAATTTATTAATTTGAACCTATATTTTTAACTAAATAATTTAACAGTTGGAATCTCTCCCTCCATATAGTTGAATTTATAAATTGTATTTACGTAATCCATATATTAATTTTTTTAAAAAAATAAAATAATAGATAAAGAAAATGGGTGATGTTTAGGGGTTAGGGTGATTACAATTATTAAGGTTTAATTGGTGACCAATTAGCTAAGCATCCCTTAATTTCTCCCATTTTCCAACTCTTTCCCTCTCTCTCTCTCTCTCTCTCTCTTCATTCTCAACTCCCCAAAACACGCTCTTATATTCCATATCCCTAAAAAAAAAAAATTAATTAATTAATTTCTTCTCAATATTTCATTTCAATTAAATAATGACAATAATAAAATATTTATAATATCTTATATAAACAATCTTTTTTTTCCTACTAGTAAAATAGACTTGTAACTTTTTGGGAGATAACGATGGATGTGGTCATATAAGTAAAAGGTAATTAAACAAAAGTAGAAGCTAAATCATGTAATAATTTAATAAAATAGACTCTTGTTTTTAAATAATAAACACTAATAAAGGTTAAAAAATTCAATAATACCATAAAAATACTAATAATATTATTAAACTTTCAAAAAGTCTAGAAAATACCTATAAAAAATTTTAAATATTTGTTTAAAAAATACTCTCTAAATTTCAAAAAAAAAAAAAAAAAGTTTTAAAATATCTCAAAGTTTTCAAAACTTTTATTAATATTATTTTTTAAAATTTCAAAAA